GCACGATTAATGGTTATCCGCGACTTGGGATTGAATCTTTCTTCCATTCTCCGTACAGATTGGTAGCGTCACGATAATGTATAGCTATTCGTTTCAAATAGTTTCTAATGAATTACTCGATTAATGAATGTGGGTTTAAACATAGCAAATCTGATTACTTACGTTTTAGTATATTGTATATTATTATATTATATTGTATATTAGCATATTGCCTCACCGTATAGGTTAGTAGCGTCACTATATTTAGGCAATATATTGCGCGATTAAATATAGGAATAGATTTGAGCGTAGGATTAATTCAAATTGACGCATTTTGTAGCGACCCAAAGACAAGCAATCTCAAGGGATAACGACAAGAAACCAAACACCGGTTATAATTTCGAGAAAAAGGCCACGTAACCAACTTTTGTTAGTTTTCAAACGTGGCTAAAGTCCTTATTTTTATACGACACTTTTACGAAACTTCGCAAACAATCTTTATTGCACCCCCTAACTTTCTATTTAACTAAAAGACGTTTTCGCAAACTAAACAGTTTTAACCTCACTTAAAAGTTATTAATTTTCCTAAGATGCCATCTTCCAGTTTGTTATTTATAAGAGGAAAAAGTTTCCGACTTCACTTTGACTAATTAGTAAAGTTCTTTTGTAATGAGAGACTTTTAGGTCTTTAGAAACATAATAAAGTGGTAAATGTGCAGTCTCGCGTGCGCGAGTTGTGCCATTGTACGACAAGCATAAAATCACGCGCTCTTACGGTAATTGCAAACCTACACTTTTTGTTTTATATTTAAGTAATCTCGGGAGATAAAAGTTATGGATGTAGTTTCAAGGAAATTGTTCACCCGTAGAATATAAAATGAATTCTTTTCTCAGCAGCGACCCCTCAAATTTAAGTTAATTTTTTTAGCATTTACAGTAGTTTTAATTTGCTAATTCTCTAATTTACAATTTATATATGTCATTGGTTCGCCACTTTCATCAATAAATTTTACAATTCAAGTGCTTTACAAAGTAGGCGTTTTAAGTGACCTTCGATTGCTTTCATGAATACAAAAAAACTTTCAGAAGCTTTTAGGCATTTTCAAGAGCTTTCTTGCACCATTCTCTGAAACTCTGGAATGAACAAGAAACACGCCTACAACTTTCAAAGCCACAAATTGAGCCTAGAGGGCACTAAAAATTCCTCCAAGCGCCTTTGAGTGAGATCGAAGTATTTCTACAACCGTCTAGGCTCTTTCAAGGCTAATTTGATATTTTTAATTTTAAAGGATGATTTGACATTACACTAACCGTTCAACATACATTTCTGACATTTAAAATCTAAGCCAAACCATAAGTTGTTGACAGGATTCAGAAACGTAATTTCAGTTTGTTTTAATCTCTGCAATGATTCTAAATTTAAAGAGCACTGCACCTTGAAATGTTATGGATGAATAAAACTTGGGTAAAATGTAATTAAACACGTTGACAAAAAAAAAATCAAATCTAAATTCAAATCAGACTTACTGTCTCATAATCATGCGAGAGTAGCTCTAGGGACTTCATTGATTACAACGAAGGAAAAAAGAACTACTGAAAACCTGCTACGAAAATGTAGTCGCCTACTTTCTTACTTCTTTTCCTAATAGTTTTCAACTCGTACGACAACATCGGGGAATTTTATCTTCCTCATAATCGTGATTTTACACCGATATTTACAATATTGTACCACTATCTTTCACGGAACCGAATGTATTTACTTAAGTTGTTATGTAAGGGCGCGCGACATTCTCACCAGGATTGCACGGGCGAAGAATACGCATATTGCGACAAACTTCGGTTGTAACTCCACGAACAAATGGCATGAAAAATTAAATAATAAAATTAGCTATTGTTAATTATACTCACTTACATGTGCGAGATGGAATTTCTAAATTCATACTACTAATAATCACCTCCATTGTCTCTTGGAATTTCTCAGGTCGGCAAAAGGGCTCTTATCAATGACCTTTACCTTCTATCTTCAACTCCTACAACAAACACAAATACTTTTCGTAACGAAGTGCCACCAGATACCAGGTGGTTATTAAAGTATGTAAACTTCAAGGCGCAAAATAAGTGCTTCGTTACAATATTATTATCATTTGGGTTTGGTTAGAACTCAGGCGCCTGCCATTTTGGCCAGAACATAACCTGTCTCATTACAATAAGAGTATGTTTGGAGTTTCGAGATCCATCGCCATCACCATTTCGTACATACGTAAAATAAAATATAAATATATAAATAAGGGAACGATTCAAACTTCAAAACTGCCAAACAATAAGTGATGATATTTGTAGATTTAATATCAATCGCAAGGTTGGATATAATTAGTGTGCAAATACCCCTAATTTGGATGCGCTCTTTCCCACTACGTTCACTTAAAAGAACGACTAAGAAGAATTATTTCTAACAAAATAAAGCCTATGTAAAGGCTGACCCATTTTCGAGACTTATAGAGTATCTCTGACATTAGGCGTCATGTGATTTTTTTGAATCAAACTCAAAAGGGTAAAATCAAAATTTTGGCTCACATAAGACATACGGGTGAAAACCAAAAAAATGTCAATTTCGGAATGGCCCTTTATTTTCTTAGTAAAGAGCGACAGAGACATGTTTATTACAATTAATATTGCATAATGTGCTGTTTTCAAAATCGCCCTGTATATGTTAATACCATATTAAATTCTCTTTTTAAAAATTTAACGTTAGAAAATTCAAAAAATTTATTATTGGTTCAAAAAGATTTAAAAAAATTTTCAAACATTCAAAAATGTGTTTAAAATTGTATTTTTTGAATTACGTGAACTTTTTTTAAATTTTTTAAATTCTTTTTCAATCTTTGAATTTTTTTCAGCTTCTTTTATCACAGCAGCCAAACCCTCTGCAAAATTCCAAAGAATTAATTAACAAATTTTTAATTAACACAATTCTGGGTATGAAATAGAAAAATGTAACATGAAAACTGTTATCTACGTCGTAATTTGGGCTCGATTCAACACAAAACTAACCATTTGCAGATGAAAGAAATTTAATGGGCACAAATCAATCAAATACACTGAAAGAAAAATAGGCACTCAAGGCCAGAAGACAAATACCACGCAACAAGCTATCAATAGAATTAATAATTTAAACAAATCTTAATCTGTTAATAATCCAAAATATCCGGCCCTAACTGCCTAACTCAAGAGAAGACGCACTAGCGCAAAACGACCAGGTGATATTGTTTCTAAATTTCACTTCTTTAATTCAACTTGATTATTCTTGTAACGTTGGCTCTTTGGTGGTGGAAAAACAATTACTTCTTCGTAAACTCCACCTCTTTAATGTACATAAATACAAATGAATCTCCGAAATGTATGTACGCGGATAACTTCAGAACGACTGCACTAAATTTGATAATTATTTTATTGTTGTATTTGTTATTATCAGGACAAGGTTTGTATAAAACATAATTGTCAAAAAATTGTACGGAAAGACTTAAAAACACATTTTTTCTCTTTTTCGTCATTTTAAATCACAATATAAGTCAAGAGGCGGCATTACTAATAAATAGAAGCGAATGTTTCTATAGGATGCGATGAAACTTTGGGGGATTGATTGGACGTACGCTCGCGAAGGTTTTTTGCACTTCCCGAAATTCACAATGAGAAAGGGAACGGGATTTACCGGGAACGTAGTATGGGATCGGGAAAATCCCAAAGGCGATACGAAGTTCGCCAGGACTGCTAGTTCGATTTATAAAATTTACTTTCTATGTGTAACGTAACTCCCTTTTTTATACACACACTTTAACTACAGATACTGGCTGAGTCTTGATACCGGCAATAAGTACGCCCAAATACGGCAAAACGCCATACACAAACAACCCCCATCGAATAAAAAGCAATGAAGAACGCCTTCCTCTGCTATTTAAAACAATTTCCTTTCCTCATTTGCGTTTCTTTTTCCTTAACAAAATACTGCTTACTTCAGCAATAACGCGTGCTTATCTTGACACTAATTAGCTTACACAGCATTTTGCAGACAGAAATTCGCAATTGCTATGTTGTGTTGGGAAGCGTGTTCGCTGGGGCAAATACCCTCCAATCCCATTCATATGCATATTTTGCGTATTTTACTTATTTTGTTTTTGCACCATATTCTGATTTAAAGGAAACAAGTCAAAGATGCTAATCCAGTCTTTTGATATTGTTCATGTAACTCTTTTTAAATTGTTAGTATATTCTACCGACCCTTACGATAGCATAGAAGATTATTAAGAAAGCAGCGTTTATTTTATATGAAAGAAAACGTTGTGATGGGAATATACAAGATCGTGTATGGCCTTAATTAGTACACGGGGGGAGCAAATGAAAGTTTATTAAACGAAACAGACGCCGTTTTGCACCCTCCACTGTAAGACTGTTGCGTTAACAAGATTGGAAATGGCTGTCATAATTCAATTTTCCTTTTACGTACCTACACGCTCGCATGATTAAAACGTAAAGGATAAAACCCGAAACCTACTTACCAACCCTTGTCAAAAACTCGGTACGCTCCTCCTTCGCATGTAAATAAATTTCATCAAAACTTTTTGAGTGTATACCTATACCAATTTTTTTTGGTGATCTACGATATGTTTCCGCAAACAGAAAACTCCGAAAAACACACGTATATTGTAAATTATGTCACGTTTCCAAATTGAAATTCACCTCGACGACACGAATGGCGCGAGGAAGAAAGATAATTCAAGCCCGAAACGATCTAAATCGAAGAAGTTTTTTCGCTAGCGCCCTTTTCAACGCGCGCGCCCAGTAATAATTAAAGAGGGTTTTGTAAAATCCATTCGACCGCGGGGCAAGGGGAAAAAAAGGTGAATCTTTGATGTAGTTTTCGCGATGGCGGCGGTCGGCAACGAAAACGAAATACTTCAATACATAATAAAGAGTTTCCTCGCGGGCACTGGATTTCGCGAAACATGGGGTGAAACGGAACTTACCTTTGTTTGCTGCGGAATAATGAAGTTGAGGAGGACGTAAATTGACTGAAACAAAGGGAAACATTTTAAATTAGTACAAGGACCTCTTCCTTTATCGGTATGTTTGTGGTGTTGTTTAAAAAGTTTTAGAGATGCATTTAATTTGAGTTGGAGATCTCACGCAAAAAAATTGAAGCATATGAACTTTGTTGTACTAAATAATAAATAATAATTCTTCTTACTTGACCAACAAAATGACATGACTCCATTAATGCAAGCTTTGCGTATAATTATGCAACCCGCTAACGTTAACTATTTAGTGATTTCGGCTAGATTCATTACAAGTAGCACTTCTCCGGCCATACTTTGGGGAAAATTTTAATTTTAATTGGATGTTGTCACTTCACTCAACGAAACCAAATACATTCTATGTAAAAAAATCCGCTCTGTATCCGAAAATCATAGTCGCCCTGGCCGGAAACTCCCGGAACATATTGTTATAAACAAAAAATGAAGAAAAAATGGGAAAATCAATTACTTCGTTAACTATTGCTCTGAGAGAAAAAATGAAGAGAAATGAATTTGTTTAGAATCGAATTTTCTATACCGTTAGTATTGAACGTTCATTTTCAAATATTATTGTTTTTATGGAAAAATATAAAAAATGTAATCCCGAAAATTAAGAATCTGTTATATTAAGTCATCCAATCTTTTTGAAAATCCGTATTTGGTCACTTCTTTTGATACCAAAACCATACGACAAACCCGATCACCATAGGTTTCATAGTCAATAAACACATTAAAAAACGACTTTGTCTTTCAAACTGGATGACTCCCAGAGCATTCTCAATTTCTTTACAGGTGGTGGAACACTAAAACAACCTTTACCGAAAATTTTTACGATGATTCTTGCAAATCAGTACGTCGATTTGCACTGTGGAATTTTTTTTAGTTAACTACCAAATGCAATAACTCCCGAAATATAACAAGAAAAGAAAGGTAACTCTATCATAGGCCCTTGGCACTCTGATTCATAAAAATAATCCATTTTGGTAAAATAGAAGCAAGTGCCGGCTTTAAAGAATCGTTTGGTGCGACCAATCGTAGTAGCTGTGGAAATTTAAACAAACGCATAAAATTTGCAACCGGAAGCGAAGAAAACAAATGAAAGCAGTCACAGAAATAACTTTAAATACATTAGCACTTGCTTCCTTTGCATTATCATTACATTACATTATTATTTTGTTACATTGTCGATTTTATAAGTTATATTGTCCACCAAACTAGTTTTGTGACAGACATGACCCTCTTTTGTTTTTCCACAGTTACTGCGATTGGTTTTATAAACATTACTATTCGTTTATAAATACAATGCTATAGCTTTAATTTCTAACGTACATAGTTATAACCTATTTAATATCATTGTAAAGAGAATTTCAAGCTCTTTCCGTGTATTGCAGAAAAAGTAGCCGTTGTATTTAAAAAAAAAACAATTTGTTTTCTGATGCTCTTTTGTTTTTATATCACTTGTTTTTTTTAAATATGTACGATTACCAGAATTTGAAAGTAGAATATTTTATATAAGCAGGTAAGTACCTAGAGATAAATAATTTAGATTTTATGTTTTCTTACAGGTTATCGATTTCGAATTTTTATTTTCATCATCAGACCTTGCTGAAAAATAACTGACTAGTTTTTACATAGAAATTGTAGGTATAATAAAGCTTACCGTCATTTAAATTATTGAATGAAAGAGAGTATGTACATCTGTATGAAGGACCATGAGTTACATTTATATTTTGATGGTAGTTGTGAATGAAATACAAATTTTAGTAGTTATTGTGGACGAGATCTAAAAATAAATATACAAAATTGTTCACTATGTGTGTTATGTCGACTTATATTAAAAATATGAAATAAATAGCGTGTGGATGATAAAATGAGGTTATGTTTTAAAGAAAAAGAGATCAGAGGCGTATCAGTATGTATGTGAAATCAGTGGCGTGTCGTTTTTTGTTTAAAAGGGGGTAAGGATTTGTATATGTGGTCGTTGTTAAAGTCTGTTATATCATTTATTAGTGTTATATTAGGGTCTAATAGTGCTTTCTGAATTTCGAAGTGTTCCAGGATGATTAATTTGCTAAGATTGTCTGATTTGTGTATTAATTTACAGTTTTCAAGTGAGATAGTATGTTTTGTTTCACGTGTGTGAGTACCGATAGCTGAATTGGGATTATTTCTTTTATGCTCATTGAATCTTATTTCAAATCTTATTTCAAATTTACGGCAAGTGAGTTGTTAATGAATTTTTGATTATAGTTGTTATATCTGTGATATGGTATTAAATTCTAAAGTGTAATCTTCGGGGGAGAGGGGTGTGTTCAATAGTCTATTAAATAAATAGTTAAATGCTGAGGTTTTTATATTGAAGCGTGGTATGAGTGAGCTGGAATAACGATGTCGGTGGCAGTGGGCTTTCTATAGATATTAAATGAGATATAATGAATATTAGAATAATTTACACTTTTTCCGTACCTCCATAATAATAAAAGTAATATACGCTGAGACCCGCAAAATCAATCACACTGTATATGTGTGGTTCAGGGAACGTTGTGATTTCGCTTATAAGATTATCTGGGCTATTTATTTTTAATTTTTTTATTTCGAGGTGTTCTAGTATTTTTTATTTTTTGTAGGTAGTTATTATCAATGTGTAAAAGTTTTGAATTTTGAATGATGTTTGTTATTTATGTGTGTGCCTATTTTGGGTTGTTATTTTTGTGTTTTTTGAATCTAGATCTAGTTTCTACAGGTGACGCCTATACACTATACAGGCTGTTTCACGCCAACCATTACCTAAAAGTATTTAGACTTCCATTACTAATTTAAATCTGAAAATTTGCATACCAACATAGTTTTTCATGATCTATCGAAAGAAAATATCGAGGGGTAAACCGCAACCCAAATTTTGTACACTGATTTCCTATAAATATTAGATTTCCTCTGAGTTCCTTCGAGTTCCTCAGAGTTCATTTGATTTCTTCGGAGTTTCCCTGATTTCCTCCGAGTTCCTCCAACTTCCACGAAATACCTCTGATTTCCTTAGAGTTCCCTCGATTTTCTTTTGGAGTTCCTGTGAGTTCCTCTGATTTTTTAAAGTTTTTTAATTATTTCATTGTTATTCCGTTGATTTAACAATTTCCTGGTACGTAAAACCCGAGGTAAAACCATAAAAAAAATATAAAAGTGTCAAGTGTCAAGTTAAAAAGTAATCGTAAACGATTTACATAAAGCGCATTTCCACTTGCATTCATTTCCCATTTGTAAGATGCAACTTCTGTTAAAATCGTAAAAATCCGGCCACAAATATGAAAGATAGCGTTGCACATGGGCAATCCATTGTTGACGTGCTACTTCAATTTCAGTTTATGAGAAGAATTTCATTTCAATGCTTTTCTAAATAAGAAAGTTGGAACTGCGCATGCGCAAACCTAAATTTTAAAACTAATGTTAGATTTTCCTTTGTTCCAAGCGCCTAAGTATCAAATTTCACTTAAATAGTTCCATAGATAAAAAAGTTGGCACTGCGCATGCGCAAAATAAAATTTTGAAACTGGCGCTAGATTTTCCTTTATTCCAAGTGCCTATGTATCACATTTCATTTAAATTCTTCCATAAATAAAAAAGTTGGCACTGCGCATGCGCAAAGCCAAATTTTGAAACTGGCGTTTGATTTTCCTTTATCCCAAGTGCCTATGTATCAAATTTCGTTTAAATTCTTCCATAAATAAAAAAGTTGGCACTGCGCATGCGCAAAACCAAATTTTGAACTTGGCGTTTGATTTTCCTTTATTCGAAGTGCTTATGTATCAAATTTCGTTTAAATTCTTCCATAAATAAAAAAGTTGGCACTGCGCATGTGCAAAACCAAATTTTGAAATTGGCGTTTGATTTTCCTTTATTCCAAGTGCCTATGTATCAAATTTCATTCAAGTACTTTTATAAGTAAAAAAGTTTGCAATTCGGTTTATGGTCGAGATGCGAAAAGGGCACTGAGAATTTTGAATCGATTTGATTCAACTTTTGGCATTGCGTATTATATGGCTAAAGCTATGCCCATATTGAATTTCATGCAATTCAGTTCATAACTAACGGAGATGTAAAAGCGATCGAACATTTCTAAACAAAGTTATCGTTCACACGGACAGATAGATGGACAGACAGACAAAGGAACAGACGGAGAGACCAACCGGCAGGCGACAGATAGCAATGCAAAATTATAAACGATCTCTAGGATCGTTAATAAACGGCAAAAGTGTAAAATTATGGAACATGTAAAAAACGGTTTTTTGTTTTTTTTACAATAACTTTTTTTGTAAGCGGTACAGAAAAAATTCCTTCCTTGGTACAAGACTCGACACCATAACGAACCAAATAGCGAAAAAAGTAGAACAATAGCTCTTAAGATAAAGAACTAGTAACGTCGCAAAGTTAGCGGACGGACGGACGGACGGATAAAGACACGACCTTAGACGAAACACTATTTTATATTTTAATAGACCTATTTGCAATGAGAAAAACTCATTATTAAATGAGAAAAATACCATAAACAAATAAAAAAATTAGTTAAGACCAAATTAAATAATAAAATGCAGCACGAGTTCCTTTGATTTCTTTAGAGTTCCCTTGATTTCCTCGGAGTTCCTGTGATTTCCTTGGAATTCCTCCTGAATACACATGGAATTCCTTGGAATTCTTAGCTTTCCTAGGAGTTCCTCCGGAATTCCTATGATTTCCCATAGATTTCCTCAAACGTGTACACTGATTTCCCATCGCGGTTTACCCCTCGGAAAATATGATCATGGTCGTGGATATAACTTTCTTATTTTAAATAGAACAGCCGATATTTTATTGATCTTACATCTATGCAGAATTTTTTCCACATTTGAAAGTGCAAAAAAATAAAGCAGGTTTCATTTGAAAAAATCAAGTTTTTAAGGTTCGAAGTTATTAAACTTTACCAGTAATTTTAAAACACCCCGTAGAAGGGTTATTAATGGGACTCT